TTTCTGAGAAAGCCTGAGATAATAAATTTTGAATGTGTGCCCAAAGAGAAATTCTCTGGAAAAATATATGCCTTATATTGGCCTCTCAATCATAAAAAGAAGTAACCTCTTACCCCAGATATTAATGAGCATCACAAGTTTTTCCAAAAATTAATGTAAAGGTGGTGGGTTTGCCATATGCACAGTTAATCAGAGATGTTTATTTTCAAAACAGGAAATCACCAGGATTCAAGAAGAGATGCAGAAGCAGCCATTGAGTTAAATCCAACCTTCCTTAAGGCAATTGTGAGAGGTTAGATAGTAATTTTATTAAAGCTAGCTGTGCTATAAAAAAGGAACTCATCACTTTAAGGATAGATGAAGTTAAATCTGGTCTCAATTGACTTTAATTAAGAGGTGGAGACCACGTAACTTGATTTACATTTGAATCTAGTTCTTGACTTAACTATGCCATGACTTTCCATTATGATGAGAATATTATTTTGAGTTGGATGAAGAACTCATTGCTAAATTGTGAATGCAAAGCAAAATTTCAACATGAGTATTTTAGTTTCCTTTTGCTCAATGAGTGAGGTGGTGGTTTCATATATATTTAGTCACCATCTAGCTATTCTCTTTATGCAAAATTGTAAGGAAACTTTCTTCTTTCATCAAGTATAACTCAACTTCAAGTGCTAGAATACATGTAATATTATAATGTAGCTAAAGAGACAGTATGTATATTAATTAAATCTTATTCTTGGTGAACTTCAAACCTTAGTTTGGGTCACTTCCTAGGAATCAATCATTAACTGATTGATTAAATCAAATATGTTCATGTAACTCAAACTAAAGGGTAACTAGTATTTGAATATCAAATAAAATTTTGCGTTGCATTTTGATTGAAGTTGAAATTTAACCTAGGTCCAAAAAGGTTAATTAAAATAATTTAAAATGAATTAAAAAATTTACCATTTAAAAAATTTTGAGAAAAAAGGGGTCTCATTTGTCTGTTTTTGCCTGGCATATCTTAGTGATTTTATGGGAATTGTCAGTCCCTATAAAATGTTCTTTAACCCTTTAAATCTCAGAGGTGATTAGCATGTATCTTCTCCCTATTATATCCATACATCATCTGGCAAACAGGTCTTGATTTGACCTAACACCAAATTCTCACAAATGTTTTAGAAGGGAATATGTAGCAGCTTAAGAGGGGAGAATTAATAATCACATCTTGGGATTTTAAGGGTTAAGAAGTTTCAATTATCAAAAGCTAATCTAACTGAAACCTAATAGGGCCTGTCTATTCTTTTCCATTTAGTTTTTTTCTTTTGTTTTGTTTTTTTCTTCTGGTCTGTAACAACTTAGCTTTCAATCAGGTTTCTGGTTCCTTTCTCGAAATTATCAGCTATAGTCATCACATGCTTGTTTGTGTTGTTGCCCACAGGAGCCACTGCCTGTGTTGAACTGAAGAGATTTGAAGAAGCAATCATTTGGTGTGATAAGGGATTACTTGTATCCTTGAAAAACCTCTAGTTATAATGAAAATATGATCATGAAAAGGGGAGAAAATACAAAAAGGGTGTTAATTACAATGGAAACTTGTCAGCTGATACTTTGTCTGTGTGATTTAAAAGTGTGGGAGAAGTTAATGCCTCATGACTTAATAAAGATATAATCCTCTTAGCCATGACTAAGTCATAGTATCCATGCCACAACTGGTACATTAGTTTAGTGAAAAGACTACCCCTGCGAAATGGATTTTGGAATTCCTGGGAATAAGAGGAGTGAATTTTTACGGTAAATTCAGACTGGGAATTGTTGAATTTACAACCTTTATTCCGCTCACACAAAAATCGTAACAACATAGGAAGGAGAACAAAATACATATATATATGCTAATTAAAAAAAAAAAAGAGCTTGAATAGCAAAAGGATAAATTAAATTAATAATTCCTGTGAAACAAATTAAATTTAACAACGGTCAAATATGCATAATAACAACAGGAATTGCGAGGAATTCCTAGGAATTCCCAACTATAACAACTCTGGTTCTAAAAATTCTTGGAATTCCAACTCAGAGCACCAATGACTTTCCTTGAAAAGCTGTAAATCTGAAAAATTCTTAGAAATTTCTAGGAATTTTCAGGAATTTCTATAAATGTTTGAGAATTACTGGGAATTTTAAGCAAAAATTTGAGGCTACTAATATAAAATGAATACAAAAAATTCAAAAATCTCAGCTAAAATTCTAGTATTCAATGAAATTTATTTGCAAGCTTAATTAATTAAGGTTAACGTGTAAAATATTTTTGATTGTATATTAACATCAACATGTAGTAATATAAGAATGAAATTTGATTTATTTTTCTTTTCTTGAAAACTTCATATGAATTAGTCCTCAATTACAGCTATTCTTGTAAAGTAGTTCTAATCAATTATTAAATTTGGTTTGACACAAATTGTGAATAAAATCTGCTGATTCTTCTCCATAAAATACAATATCTTAAATTATATTTATTGCAATAAATAGTCTGTCTAAGAATAGTCTTAAAATGAATCATTAAATTTTGGATGATGATACAAATGGTATTTAACCCTTTCACTCTCAGAGACAAGCTTTGACTTGACATTATGTGATTGTAACTTATTTGGATAAATCTCTTGTGTGTGAACATTCAAATGTAAGCTGTCAAGCAACACTTTCATGTTTTATTCTTTGTTTTTGTTGATTCTGCACATTGAAATCTGAAGAAATTCCAAAGAATTCCCAGAAAACTGGGAAATAAGTTGGCAAGGGTTATATGCATTATTGAGAATTTTTGAGAATTCCTAGGAATTCCTAGAAAACTGGGAATTCAGTTTGCAAGGGCAATATTCAGCCAATTTATACATAGTACATGGGTAGAAGATCTCTTTGAAACAAGTCAGAAAAAGAAGCTTGGTGATGCTTATATATGTTATTAAATACTGATTTTCTTTCCTTTAAATTTTTTTTCACTTCTCAGAGACTCGGAAACTTTCATCGTATTTTCCTATGTGAAAAAAACAACTTCCAAAAGCACATATTTGTGTTGTATACTCATTTCTTCCACTGCTGTAAGACATTTCTCTGATGTTAAAGCTATATTACTTTGAAAATTGAGCTAGTGATTCCCAGTTTTTTAAACAAGGAACTATATCTGGATCGGTGTTTTGCATTAAAATTTAAGGTTTTTTCACAGATAACTTTTTGTGGTGTAGATTTACATTATAACTGAATTTAAGACTGAATGTTGATTTAACATCTACCTTTATCATAAGCCCTCCCAATAGTCCATTTTACAGTTGTGTACTTAGTTTCTAAGCCTTTGATTTGGAGTTAGATTGAAGTTGATTTTGTTGTGATAGAGACCAGTATCTTGTTAGCATGATGACAAAGTTTATAATTTGCATTTAAAAAGCAGCAATGTTTGTATCATCACAGGGTCACCCTTAGCCACACCCCTTTTCAAAGGCTTGGCAACCGAGCATGCAACTAATAATGGCCTATTATATACCAATGTGATCAGAAAAATAATCTTACACGTTTTGAAACTTAACATGAAAAAAGATTGACAAAAATAATAGGATCTTGTTGTCATTAAAGCTTCAGTCTGTCGGACAAGTGGGAGACAAGTCCATGGAGGAAAAAGATCATGTTACATTTAGCAATGACCATGCTAGTGCAAGTTCAGG